AATTTTGTCAAGAAATGCAAAAAAAATCTGTTTTAATCAGCAACAGTTCAAAACACCAAAAAAAAGATGCCCTTGCATCAAAATTCCAGCCCTAAAAAATATTACTAAAAGTTAAGATAAATTACAACGTCGCTCGTAAAATCGTTTCTAATCGTGTTGCTAAAAAGGTAAAACGTTCTYAATCGTACAACACCGTATTATCATAAGTATAWWTGTGCGTGGGATAGCCACACTGTGTAAGTACCTATACCCACTGAAAATGTTATTGATGTAATCATATTATATATAAATAATAATAATAATAACAACAACAAAAATCATTTCAATAATATAGGTGCACGAAGTTTAGTAACAATATTTGCACGGACTTTGTGACGGCGTTTTTTTCCCTACCGAACAGTCTGTATGCACTCCAAGTCCAATCGCGACATAAGAAGTTAATAATTTATAGCGTACTCGGCGCGGCGTCGGTGTGTAGAGTTTGTAAGTACACAAGTCACGCGCTAAACTTGGGAACCTACCCAGATGCGAACCACTTTTTTGTTCCCCTCTTAAACTTGACATGCAAACACAATTGCGCTTGCGAGATAGATAAATGTAATGTGGATGTATTTTATTGCGTCCCGATGGCCGATGGTTTGGGGAGGGTAGGGTATAGTTGTTGAGAGGGTTAGATGGTACGCTAACGGCTCGCACAGCAGCCAGCTGAAGGAGCATCCAGTGGCTAGTCCTCAACGATAAACTACCGTAGACGAAACAAGTTTGTCAACCTATATAAAAGTCCCATAAATATTATATAACACTATTATATATTGTTATTATCATCGTAACATATGTGCGTACGATTTTTCGAAAAAACGTAAACCTGTACAATGTTTACCGCGTGTGAAAATTATAAAATAATGACAAATCAGTCATTACAGACATCATCGTTATATTATTATTTCCTGCAAGTCGTTTTCCTAACCTACATATAGTAGGTAGTACATAACTATTATATAGTTTCTGATTGTAGTCTCTTTACACAAAATTCGACGGTTTTACTATAACAAGAAATTATAATATTATAAATCGTTTCGCAGAGACTCGATTCAGTGTAAGTACACACAATAAGCGATTTTTTTAGTTCGTGTCACCTTGTTATTTTGTAGGTACGAAAACTATTCCGTAGACTGTAACGCTGCTAAAACACGTGAATTCTCAATTTGCAAGACACCGTCACGTACATGATGCACATTGCACGTTCACGGCAACGGATGAATTATAATAATAACGAAACGTTTTGACTTCCCGTCGGAAAAGCCAACAGTCCATTACTTCCTATGTACGGTAACTAAGTAGGCACCTCTCTACTTTCGGCAGTAAATTTAGACCCAAATATACAAATATTACTGCTACCGAGTTTATCGAATTTCGTCTAAAATCAGTTAGTCAACGTTAAAAAAAAAAAATCTCATTCGTTTTAATATAATATATAGGTATAGCGAACGCCAGAGTTACTCGAATGATTGGTGATCGTATTTATTTTGGTCTTAACATAATATTTCTAAGACACATTTTAAGTTTATTTGCTTGCATTAACGCTCGTTGTGGTTTATTTATTATCATAAATAATCCGCACAATCTTGTTTTAAAACTTTATCGCCGTTGTCGTTATACTTTRAAAATGCAATAATTTATCGTTTAAATTTGAAACTATTGGCATTGTCAGTATTAAAAAAAAAAAAAGAATCACGAGCAACTTTTAAATGTTATTAATATTCCCATTAGTTAGAGTTCGATATTAATGATAGAAATATGGAGTTTTTCTAATATCTCTTAAAAAAAAAAAAACTGGTTCTTTTCACAAAGCTTGGTCACAGCAGAGCATCATTAGGCGGAACTATTCGACTTTAATTAAATTATACTTAGATTATATGTTTTAATCTATAGAACGGAATAATAATATTAAATAACAAAAAATATACTCAGCGGTAAAACACGATTGCGTACGATTTTTATCTGCAGCTTTGAAGCACTGTTGCCATTTGCTTTGAACTTATAGAACAGGGGTTACTTCCATAATTTTTTTTTATTATTATTGAATAACTATTTTTTATTATATCATTTTAACATTTAATTATTTTTAATTATTTTATTTTGATACTCGTACAATATTATTCTAACATATTTGTCAWAATTGAGAATTTTAAGTGGTACCATAACTTAAGTAATTTTTCCAAAATTTAAATTTTACTGATCAAAAATAAAAACATAAATTTGGCAACGTTGCACAGTAAATCGTACGCATTCGTTAGACTTTTGGGGTAAATATTATAGTTAATGGCTTAACGTACGAAATCGTGTTAATGTACGCAATCGTGTTCTCAAAAAGAWACATCGTACGCAATCGTGTGGTACCCATACTCAGCTGCTGGTAAATTAATTTGGATTTCTAGAATAGACGCATTTAAATTGACAAGAATACGATTAAGCGAAAGGGTCGAATGCATTTACATGCTGATATGGGATGGATCGCATATACGCGCAATTGTTTTGTCCAGGCAGGAAATTAATGTACTCTGGTCGGTACTCCATTGGAATTGAAATAAATAAATATTAAATATCTTTGTACACATATCACAATACATTGGAATAATGTACGATGAGATATTTTGGGTGCAGTCTTTTTTTTCCTATTATATTGTTTATATTATACTTTTTAGAATACTCTATAATTTTCTACAATTATTCAACCCATGGCGGTTCGCATAAAGTTAATACTCACGAAGTGAAAATGCGTCGGCGGTGACGCCATATTATTATATGGGTCTGTGTGTGAATGTAGTATGCAAATGGTTGACATAAAATGCAATTAAAGAGGACCTATTAAATCGTATTGCTCCTATGTGTATACAAAAATGACCCTAAACATTTTTTTTTACGAACTGTCCGACATTGAGTTTATATAAAATAAAATATTATACTCCTCTTTTATATTATCCGGGGCCCCTTTCACCCCGACATTGTTTGAAAAAGAAATTTGTCATTCGTGACCTCAACAAAGCTTTTCGAACCGATCACATTTCAGTTGAATGGGTTGACTTTATAAATTATTGACCCCAGGGACAAGGGGA